TATGGAAGAAAAAGGGGCCTCGTTCCTTATTTAGGGCTCCTTATGCCAAGGCCCTGGCTGTAGGGCGACGTGCCCGACCTAATTTTGGTGCTTTCGCCGGGCTTCCGGCCTCGGGATGCCGCCCACCAGCTCTCTGCGACTCGCCGCGGGCCTTCCGGGGCTGCCTGAACCGCCCCCCGCACGGCCGCGGCGGGGCGCCGAGCCGCGACGCGCGGGCCAGGGGTGGGCAACGCCGTCTGCTGCGGGCAGCCGGCTTCGGCCCCGCCGCCGCCTCCCTCGGTGCCCACGGCGCCTCTCAGCTCCAGGAGGCGCTGGGCAGAGCAGCCTCGCGGGCCGGCTCGCCCACCGCTTGATTCCCCACATGCTTCGTGGGGTTCTGGTTTTCTTTTCCCTTCCGCGTCTCACCCGCGTCTCCTCCTCCTCCCCCTCCCTCTCCTTCTCTTCCCAGCTGCGCTGCACCTGCGGCTGGAAGAGAAGAAAAGGGAGAGCACGGCAGGCGCGGCATTTTCTCGACACCACCAGGGTGCGCAGGGGGTGCGGTCTCTATGCGCTGCAGGCGCGCAGGGCACGGCAGGCGCCTCGGCACTTTCTCGACACCAGAGGGGGTGCACAGGGGGTGCGGTCTCTATGCGTTGCAGGCGCGCAGGGCACGGCAGGCGCGGCATTTTCTCGACACCAGGAAGGTGCGCAGGGGGTGCGGTCTCTAGGCGCGCAAGGCACGGCAGGCGCGGCAGTTTCTCGACACCAGGAGGGTGCGCAGGGGGTGCGGTCTCTATGCGTGGCAGGCGCGCACGGCACGGCAGGCGTGGGAATTCTCGACACCAGGAGGGTGCACAGGGGGTGCGGTCTCTATGCGTTGCAGGCGCGCAGGGCACGGCAGGCGCGGCATTTTGTCGACACCAGGAGGGTGCGCAGGGGGTGCGGTCTCTATGCACTGCAGGCGCGCAGGGCGCGGCAGGCGTGGGAATTCTCGACACCAGAGGGGGTGAACAGGGGGTGCGGTCTCTATGCGCTGCAGGCGCGCAGGGCGCGGCAGGCGTGGGAATTCTCGACACCGGAGGGGGTGAACAGGGGGTGCGGTCTCTATGCGCTGCAGGCGCGGGCACGGCAGGCGCGGCATTTTCTCGACACCAGGAGGGTGCGCAGGGGATGCGGTCTCTATGCGTTGCAGGCGCGCAGGGCGCGGCAGGCGTGGCACTTTCTCGACACCAGAGGGGGTGAACAGGGGGTGCGGTTTCTATGCGTTGCAGGCGCGCAGGGCACGGCAGGCGCGGCATTTTCTCGACACCAGGAGGGTGCGCAGGGGGTGCGGTCTCTATGCGTTACAGGCGCGCAGGGCATGGCAGGCGCGGCACTTTCTCGACACCAGAGGGGGTCACAGGGGGTGCGGTCTCTATGCGTTTCAGGCGCGCAGGGCGCGGCAGGCGTGGCAAAGTCTCGATAACAGAGGGGGGTGCGCGTGGGGTGCGGTCTCTATGCGCTGCAGGCGCGCAGGGCGCAGCAGGCGTGTCATTTTCTCGACATCAGAGGGGGCGCGCAGGGAACGGCCACCAACATCATTCTCACATGCTTCTTTTCAGCTATCATCACTCCAGCCATCATATAAGTATGTGGGGTTCCTCGGTAGCGTAATTTTCGTACCCTGGGCCGCCCGGGTGGGATCCGAGCAGATGGCGTCGGAGGGTCGCGCCGCATCGCCGATGCCTTGGCGATTCGGCTGGATGCGGAGCCCGGTTTTTTCCACGCCGACGTCCTCGATGCATCGCCGATGCATCGGCGATGCGGCGCGGTCCTCCGACCCAATCTGTTCCGACCGCGTTTGGGAGGCCTCTGCATTGCTGGCCCGCCCGTTTTTTGTTCTACCCGAGGGGGGCGCAGGGGCTGCCCGTCGCGAAGCTGCCCGCTCGCCCGAAAGTCCCCGTCGCCTTCTGAGAAGGCCGGCCTCCTCTGCCTTCCCCCCAGGCGCGCCGCTCGTGCATCGGATTGACGAGCCGGGTCGGATCGGAGTGCACGTCGGGTCGGGGCTGCATCGGCACGGACAGCCTTGTGATCCGGTCGCGCACCCTCCTCCTCCTCCTCCTCCTCCTCCTCCTCCCCTCCTCCTCCTCCTCCTCTCCTCCTCCCTCTCCTCCTCCTCCTCCCTCCTCTCTCCTCCTCCTCCTCCTCCTCCTCCTCCTCCTCCTCCTCCTCCTCCTCCTCCTCCTCCTCCTCCTCCTCCTCCTCCTCCTCCTCCTCCTCCTCCTCCTCGGGGCGAAGAACCTCGGATCGGAGTGCACGGGCATCTGTTTCCGATCCCCTTGTCCCCACTGGCATGGCCCGCGGAGCTGCCCGCGCGCCCGCGCGCGCGCGCCCCCGCGCGAGGCGCGGCAGGAGCGCCCGTCCGTCGAGACGGTCCAGGCCCTCACCAGCCGCTGCGCCAGCGTCGGGACGTTGCAGGCCTGAGCCCTCGTCGTTGTCGTCGTCGTCGTCCTCCTCCTGCTCCTGCTCCTCCTCATCCTTCCCCCTCCTGGTGTGCGTGCTCCCTCGTCCTCCTCCTCGCCCTCCTCCTCCTCCTCCTCCCTCCTCCAGGGCCGCACTCAGGTTAGCACACTTCATGTGGGGAATCGACTGCCCCCCTGCCCCCCTTCCGCCAGCAGCCAGTCTGCTTCTCTGTTTGTGTCTCTCCCTCTCTCTCTCTCTCTGTCTCTCTCGGTCTCCCCCTCTCTCTACATTGTTCTCTCTCTCTCTCTTGTTATCTTCCTCTCTCTCTCTGGATTGTTTGTTATCGGTCCCTCTCTCTCTATGTGTTTTTCGTTCTCTCTCTCTCTGTCTCTTTCGGTCTCTGTATCTGTCTCTCTCTCTCTCTCGATATACCTCTTGTGCTTCCTTTCTCTCTCTCTCTCTATGCCTCTGTCCATCTCTCTCTCTCTCTCTATATATGTATACACATATATGTATACCCCCCCCTCTCTCTCTCTCTCCTTGAATCCGTCGAGCGCCCGTGCTTTCGTTTCCGTGCCCGCCGCCCGACGTCCACCGCCCGCCGCCTTCCTCCGCCAGGGGGGGTCCAGCGCCTGCGACGACCAGTGCGGCAGCGACGTCGTCGGGGAGGTGCTGCTCGACCAGCTCCTGCACATCCTGGCCAGCCAGGCCGGCTGCTCGGCCCGCAGCCCGGCCGGGCATCTCGGAGAGGAGGAGGAGAAGGAGGAGAAGGAGGAGAAGGACAAAAGAGGACGAGGAGGGCGAACTGGGATAAAAGGAGGAGGACGAGGAGGAGGACGAGTAGGACGACGACGAGGAGGACGACGAGGAGAAAGACGAGGAGAAGGAATGAGGATGACGAGGAGGACGACGATGAGGACGAGGACGTACACCGTGTCAAAGGCTCCTTGGAAAAACCTACAGGGCCCCCTCACCCCAGTGACTTGCCTGTGGTGGGTTGCTGCCCTTTTCACAGGCGGGTGAAACAGCCTTTGGCAGCAGCTTTGCATTCGTGTCAACCGAGGCTAAAGCAACTCTCTCTTCTGTGAGGCACTGACCCATGGTGGGGCTGTAGAGTATTAGCTGAATGTTTCTGGATAAGCGCAGAAAGCTCTGCAGGGAGGGTGCCTGGGACGACATGCTTGTTCCTACAGCGGGCGCATCACATAAGAAGCTGGCCCGCCAGACGGTATTTCATGGGAGTTTCCTGTTTCTCCTGGCTGCCCCGGGGCTCCTTTGGAATCTTGGGGCAATTCGAGAGTCAGAAGCGACAGAAGGACATACACACGTGCATGAGCCCACGCTGGTTTGAGAGCACGCATTGCGCGAACGATGGTATCACGCGGCCAGTCTCGTGGACTGGGGGGCCGTATTCACGTACGTGGTTGGGCGCGTACGTCCTCCGTGGGCTTCCTAGGAGAGGCCTCGTGTCGGCAAGGCAGGAGCCTCCCCCCCCAGACTTCCGATGGCATGACTTCTGACTGTGCGAGCCTGCTCTCTCCCTCTCTCCCTCCCTCTCTCCCTCTCTCTCATTCTCTCTCTCCTTCTCTCTCCTTCTCTCTCTCTCTCGCTCCTTCTCTCCCTTCCTCTCTCCCTCTCTCTTTCCTTCTCTCTCTCTCTCTCGCTCGCTTGCTGGGTTCCAGAGGCCCCCTGTCGAGGAGGAGGAGGAGGAGGAGGAGGAGGAGGAGGAGGAGGAGGAGGAGGAGGAGGAGGAGGAGGGGGAGGAGGAGGAGGAGGAGGAGGAGGAGGAGGAGGAGGAGGAGGAGGAGGAGGGGGAGGAGGGAGGAGAAGCCGGAGGACTGGGAGGAACACCAGGGGGGCGAGGCCCTCGCAGAGTGGAGGGTGTGACCTGCGCGCGCCCCAGCCGAGGTCAGCGCTCGCTCCCCCCTCGATGGGCGCGGGGCTCCACGCTCGGAGCATGCCGTCGGACATTTGCGTGATCCGCATTCCTGATCTGTGCTTCGGCGTAACTCACCAGATACAAAAGTATCACGACCACCAGCTAAGGGGGGGGCTGTCCCACCCTCTCGAGCTGGTGGCACCTCGTTCCGGGCATGCCTCCAGAGAGTTCCCGGAAGGAGGTGCCACCAGCTCGAGGGGAGGGAGCGGCCACCCCCCTAGGTGGTGGTAGTCGTACTTTTGTCTCTCCTGAGTAACATGGCTGCTCAGGATGAATAAAACTGGGGCTCTGCAGGCAAGTTGTCCTGGAGCTTGTTTTCCCCATTTTCGGGCTCCCAGGGCCCTTGTCGGGCCTCGGGATCCTCAGGCAACGACTCGGGAGGAGGCGCTGATCTGGGGGAAAACCCTGCGGTCCAAGTCCCGCTTCCACCAGGTCCCGCACGCCAGGTCATTGGTATCTCGACCAGCTGGTGCTGGCACGTGCAGATTTTCGTGCTGTTCCTGTTGGCTTCCCTCATCTCCTCCGACACCCGTCGTGTCAAACCCGTGCCCGCAGGGGGATGCGCCGGCGCCGTGACCATCGCGTGCTGGGGCGACTCGCTTGAAGTGCGCAGTGAGCGCCCGTCTGTCAGGCCTGCGAGGTTGGCAGCCTGTTTCACCCCACTCTGCTGCCAGGTCTGTCCTCGCAGTGCTCTCGCTGCCTATCTGTTCCCGGACCCTCTCGCGAGGACGGGGCCATCAGCTCTGCTGCCGACGGTGCAGGCGCGCTGGCACTGTGAACATCGCGTGCTGAAGCGTCTTCCGACTTGTTGTTACGGGCATGCATCTCAGGACCGTGCAGTCGCCGTGCGCTTTTCCCCACTGCTGCCACCAGGTGTCCTGGCAGCTGCTGGTCTGGTCTCGGGCAGTCTGCCGGTGCCTGCTCGCCTCTGCTTTTCCGCCCTCGGTTCCTTGTGTTCTATCGCTGCTGCCACCGCCTGCCTTCCTCGCGGGGGGCAGTCTCGCCACTGCAGCGGCCTGCGGTGAAAAGGCCCGCATGCCATCCAGCTCGTCCTCGCTGCGGCGAATTTGGCGCCTTGCAGGCGCAAAGGGAGTCAACTTGTAGCTCCGGAACTGTCTGGAGTCGTGGGGCTTGTCGAGACATTTTTTTTTGGGGCTCAGCCCGTCGCGCCGCCAGTTCTGGCCCGCCACGCCGCGGCGCGACACGCTGATCACGTTCTGGCCCCCGGGCGTCACCGTCCCGAGCCTCTCCCAGCCTCCCGTCCCGCGAAGCGGAGCTACACGCCATCCGATCGTAAGGCATGGTGTGTGTGTCGCCGGGGCTGCCGCCGTGACACTCCAGGCAGCAGTTTTCTGACCGTCAGAGGTCAGGGAGCCACTCGCAGCGCTGCATCGTGTCCTCCTCCTCCTGTCCAGCCGCACGGGTGCGGCAAGCCGCGCGGGGCGCGCCACAGAGGACGTGTGCGCCTGGTGTCTGCGCGCGTGCTGGCGCGGCCGCGAGAGCGCGTGGGCGCGCGAGAGCGGAAGGAGCTTCGCGGCTCGGAGGTGCGCCGCCGTGTCCGTCGTCTGTCTCCCGAGCGCCCGCGCGTGCATGGCCCTGTCGTGTGCAGTGGCGCAGAATCGAAGCCTCACCGCCGCGGCATGCCTTCTGGGAGGCGCCCACGCGGCCAGGCGTGGGGCCAAAGTCTCTGGGGGAAACAATCGGGGGCGGAGTCTGCCTGTCTGTCTGTCTGCCTGCCAGCCTGCCTGCCTGCCTGCCTGCCTGCCTCCCTGCCTGTCTGTCTGTCTGTCTGTCTGTCTGTCTGTCTGTCTGTCTGTCTGTGTGTCTGTCTGTCTGTCTGTCTGTCTGTCTGTCTGCCTGTCTGTCTGTCTGTCTGTCTGTCTGTCTGTCTGTCTGTCTGTCTGTCTGTCTTTTTTTTTTGTTTGTTTTTCTCTCTCTCTCTCTCTCTCTCTATATATTAATATGTATGTATATTTATATATATATATGTATCCAAGACGCGTGCGGCGAAGCACCTCCGACCCCTGCCTCTTGGAATCGCCCATGTGGCCGAGCGGTGTGGCAAGAGTTCTGCCAAGCTATCGGACCATGTGTTCCCCCCAACCGCTGTGGAAACACTTCGGGGAACACTTGGGGGAGGATGGTGGGGAAGATCAGGAGGAGGAGGAGGAGGAGGAGGAGGAGGAGGAGGAGGAGGAGGAGGAGGAGGATAAGTATGATGGGGCGTCTTGGGAGTCTCTGGGGGCATTTTTGGGGCCTCCTGGGAGCGTCCTGGGAGCTTCTTGGAGGCATCTTGGGGGCCTCCTTGGGGCTCTTGGGTACCTTTGGGGGCTTCTCGGGGGCCTCTTTGGCCGCCTGAGGGTATGCCTGGCCCGTCTGACGCCATCGGAAGACGTCTTTGGGCCTCTCTGGGCCGACTTGGGGCCCTCTCGGGGTGCTCCAGGGCCGTCTTGGACGCCATCTTGGGCGTCTTGGGGAGGCCTCTTGGCTCTTTTTGGGGCCGTCTTGAGGATCTCTTGGACCGTCATGCGGCCATCTTGGAGGCCTCTTGGGCGATCTTGGGGCGATCTTTGGGAGCTTTCGGGCCGTCTCGGGCCGTCGGGAAGCCGACAATAAGCAAATGCCCAATTCCTTCAAAAACCTATGGAACCTTCTCCTCCTCCTCCTCCTCCTCCTCCTCCTCTTCCCCCTCCTCCTCTTCCCCCTCCTCCTCCTCCTCCTCCTCCTCCTCCTCCTCCTCCTCCTCCTCTTCCTCCTCCTCCACTTTCTCCTCCTCTTTCCCCTCCTCTTTCTCCTCCCCTTCTCCTATCTCTCCTTCTCCTCCTCCTCCTCCCTCTCCTCCAGGCCTGCACGGGCGCGCAACCCTTCCACCCCTTCTCGACTGTGGAAGCGCGTGGGGCGCTCCTCGGCGTGGGGCGCGCCGGGAGCAGCGGCATGCGCCCTCAGCGCAGCGCGCCCTCGGAGGCCTGCGGCAGGCCCGCAGCTGGCGGAGCCGAGCCGGCGGCGGGTCCGCTGGCGGAAGGTCTCTGCGCGTCTCCGCGGGCTCTCGCATCGACTTGGGGGGTCCGGCAGCCAGTCATGGGAGCTTTGTGTACCCGCGTGCATTTGTAGGGGGCCACATGCGAACCCTACCCCTACCCCCCACGAGTTCTGAGGGGGAGGGTGGGGTTCACTTCGAAGTGTTGTGGGGGGTAGGGGTAGGGTTAGCATGTGGCCCCCTAAGCAAGTCATGGGAGCTTTGTGTGCCTCGGGGGTGGACAGAACCCCCAACAGTGACACGTCGATTAGCGAATTGTCCGTTTTCGGTTCTCGGGAGGGCGCCGTGGCCGCTATGTTCCAGGCTTGCGCCCGCCAGGTTTGGGCCTCAGGTCGTTTTCACTAAACCACGCTTTACTAAAGGGGGATCTGTCCATCTGTCCATCCCCGAGTACTCGCGTGCATTTGTCTTTAGCGTCGACTGGCGTCGATCAGCGCCTGGGGGCCGACGAGACAGCGCCGATGTAGCGTCGGCGAGCGTCGATGTAGCGTCAGTTTGGCGTCGAGAAGCGCCGATGTAGCGTCGGCTAGCGTCGATTCGCAAGAGCCGACAAAATGGTATGGGAGGCTCTCATGAGTTGCCGCCGAAGATGGGTGATTCGATGTCGCCGCGATTGCGGCGGGCCTTTCAGCTACTCCGTTTTTCATCACAAAAGGGGGGTCTGATTTGGGGCGGGGTCTGATCGGAGCTGTCTTGGAGGTTTCCAGGGGGGTCTGGGCGCAAGGCCACCCTTTCGTGGCTGGTCTGGGGGGGGTCTAACACTGCTCGTCTGGGAGGGTTTTGACTCCCTCCCTCGTATCACGAACTCTGGAGAAGCCCTTCACGAAGCCTCTTGGAGCCTGACTCAGGAGGGGGCACTGGGCCCGAAGGAAGTCAAGGTGAGACGCCAGCACTCGTGGACTCGGGGTTTCCGGGGTGGGCCACCTGCCCCCCCAGCCCGCTGGCGTCTGCCTGGGCTAGGGAGGCCCTCCTTTGCCCGTCCCCTTGCCCACTGTGTGACAGGCGAGTTCTGGCCCCCAGTCCCCGAGTTCCCCCCCAAGAAACTGGCCGCGCAGCAACGAAGGGGAACTCGAGACCACACCCCCAGGAGGGCATTCGGACGCACCCCTGTCGAGCACGCTGTTTCGATGGAGCGGGACCCCATTCGGACGCCTGCCCCCAGGCGGCTGGACAGTTTGCACCCCGACTTGCCACCGTATGAGTAAACTTTCCAGCCGTCCTGGTGCAGGCGTCCCTGACGGCGGAAAGGTATTTTTTTTGTCCGTGCTCCGTCCGCTGAGTCTCCCCCCCCTCCGCCCTCCTACCTCGTCCCCCTCCTCCCCTCCTCGCGGCTCTGCCCGCGGGGCGCACAGGCGGAGAGGCCCCCCCCCCCGTCCAGGAAGAAGGGTCACCAGGAGCACAGGGGACCATCCCCTCCCCTCCTCCTAGAGGGACACCCCCTCCCCTCGAGGGACCCCCCTTCCCTACCCTGGAGGGACGGTTTGCGGTCGGTCTGTCTCGCGGGAAACGCCCGAGTAATGGCTGGACGTTTGAGGCGCCTGATGGAAGGAGGTCGCCCGACCACAGGGGAGCCCTTTTGAAAGCTAAACCGTATCGCCCAGGGACGGCCTGGGGTAGGAGCAGCTTCGCTCGCCGCCGATAGTTGTGAGTCAACTTTCAGGGGTATGACCAGCAGAATCCAGCAGAATCTCCTAGAGAGACTCCCCCTTGCCTCCCCTCACCTTCGAAGGCTCGAGCGGATCTCTTGGATCTGCGATGGGCCCCCCCCTGGCGGCGCCTCCGGCGCCGTCCCAGGCGCGCTCCGTGCGCCAGGGAAGGGGGAGGGGGCCAGTGCCGATCCAAGAACTCCGCGTGGACCACCGACAGTTCATGCTCGATCTTCTGCTTTTGCCTGCAACTTGGATCCGTCACGCGATGCGAATTGGAGGAGGAGGTTTGCCATGGGGAGAATGTGTCCTGAGGACAACGGGGCCTTAGGTGTTTCACCGCTTTTTGCCTCTCTGGGCCCTCCACGGACGATTTAGGATGAAGATCTCGTCCTGGGTGCTGCTACTGATGCTTGTTACGTTGAGGACGAGAGGATGATGATGCTGATGCTGATGCTGATGCTGATGCTGATGCTGATGCTGATGCTGCTGATGATGATGATGATGGTGATGATGATGCTGCTGATGATGATGATGCTACTAATGCTACTGATGCTACTGATGATGCTGATGATGCTGCTGCTGCTGATGGTGGTGATGACAATGCCGATGATGATGCTGATGATGCTGCTGATGGTGATGATGCTTATGATGGTGGTGATGATGACGATGATGATGATGGTGATATTGATGGTGGTGGTGGTGATGATGGTGGTGATGATGATGATGATGATGATGATGATGATGATGATGATGCCGATGCTGATGCTGCCGATGATGATGGTGCTGCTGCTGCTGCGGACGATGATGAGGATGATGAGGAGGAGGAGCGAATGCTCATGCTGCTGCTGATGATGATGCTCATAATGATGATGCTGATGATGCTGATAATGACATTGGCGATGCTGCTGATGATGCTGCTGCTGATGATGCTAATGATAATGATGATGATGATGATGATGATGCTGATGCTGATGATGATGATGATTATGATGATGATGATGATGATGATGATGATGATGCTGCTGCTGCTGCTGATGATGCTGCTGCTGCTGATGATGATGATGATGATGATGATGATGATGATGGTGGTGGTGGTGGTGGTGGTGGTGATGATGATGATGATGATGATGATGATGATGGTGGTGATGATGTGATGATGATTATGATTGAGGAGGGGCAGGAAACACGAAGAGGAATCTGAGGAGGAGGAATCTGCAGAAGAAAACGAATACGAAGAGACGAATATAATAAGAAGGAACAGAGAAAGAGGAGGAGGAGGAGGAGGAGGAGGGGAGGAGGAGGAGGAGGAGGAGGAGGGAGGCGGAGGAGGAGGAGGAAGAGGGGGAGGAGGAGGAGGAGGAGGAGGAGGAGGAGGAGGAGGAGGGAGGGAGCAGGAGGAGGAGGAGGAGGAGGAGGAGGAGGAGGAGGAGGAGGAGGGGAAGAGGAGGGGTGGGAACGCCGCATCACGTGGCGAGTTCACCCGGCCCCATATGCGCCCTCCCTCCCCCTCCCCGCCCTCCCCGCGCCGAGCCCCGCCGCCCCGCCCCGCCGCGCAGCCGCTCTGCCCGAGACCCCGAGTGGCAGTCCCCGTCGCCGCACAAAGCGGATGGGCCGGTCTTCCAGCACCACCACCACCGTGGAAGAGAGGGGGAGAGGAGGAGGAGGGAGGAGGAGGGAGGAGGAGGAGGAGGAGGAGAGGAGGAGGAGGAGGAGGGAGGAGGAGGAGGAGGAGGGAGGAGGAGGAGGAGGAGGAGAGGAGGGAGGAGGAGGAGGAGGAGGAGGAGGAGGAGGAGGAGGAGGAGGGAGGAGGAGGAGGAGAGGAGGAGGAGGAGGAGAGGAGGAGGAGGAGGAGGAGGAGGAGGAGGGGAGGAGGAAGGAGGAGGAGGAGGAGGAGGAGGAGGAGGAGGAGGAGGAGGAGGAGGAGGAGGAGGAGGAGGTGAGGAGGAGGACCTCCCCATCCTCACTTCTCCCCCGTCCTGCCTGCGGCAGCGGTGGTGGGAAGCTGGCC